AGTTTCTAAACGGGTTCATGAAGTACGCTAATATGAGGGCCTCTCACCAGGGAGACGTTTTAAATATATATTACGATATAATAATAATAAAACAACACCTACACACTATCTATAGGGATTCCAGTTTCTAAACGGGTTCATGAAGTACGCTAATATGAGGGCCTCTCACCAGGGAGACGTTTTATCGGTCTTTTTCTGATAGTCCATGAAGCGATTTTTTTTTATGTTTTGCGAAAACTAACAATGGATTCGAAGGATCGTGAGTAAGTTTTGTGAGTAGAGAGGATGAGCGTGTTCCAGATAAATCATATCAATTTTGAAGATGATGATAACCACCGAATAACGGGAAAATGGGAGGGGGAGCGAGAGGGGGAGGGGAGCATGTAAAGTTCAACGCACGGAAAATGATTTGCGGCAAGTGAAACCTTGTCTCCCCGTCTCGTACGTTGACAGCTGCCGCAAACTACCTAATGCTCTTCTCATCAGCGCGTTGAAGGAATAGACGTTTACAAAAACAAGGTTATTCGATCTACACTTGTTACATCAGATACAAACAACATACAACGTAATGACTGCGACAGCCATGTGATATTTCTTTACTTTGGACTACACATGTTTCTCTAAGTGGCCGAATCTTATATATATATATATACATGACCTCCTGTAAGTGGCGGCCAATATAGTGGTAGATAACAGTATTATTGATAACGTACTATTAATATTTAGGGAATATCTGTTTTGTAAAGATTAATATGATTGTTGGACAAAATCTATGGATAACGGGCCGTTCGATTAAGTTAAATGACTGGTATATTCCATAGAAAAAAATCCCCGTCACACCAAACATGCTCGCCCTTTCAGCCGTGGGGGCCGTTATAATGTGACGGTCAATCCCACTATTCGTTGGTAAAAAGAGTAGCCCAAGAGTTGGCGGTGGGTGGGAATGATTAGCTGCCTTCCCTATAGTCTTACACTGCTAAATTAGGGACTGCTAGCGCAGATAGTCCTCGTGTAGCTTTGCGCGAAATTACAAACAAACAAAACAAACAAACAGAAAAAAATGAGTGAAGGCTGCAACTTTTTTTCTTTGTAAAATAAGAATGTTGACAAATAGACTTAAAACACACAGAAATCGGTGTTAAACTGTCAAACTAAGCCTAATGTACACTTCCAAACTAAGCCTACTGGTGATTTCACATTATTTATAAACAGAAAGTTCGGATTTTGTTTCAGGAGTTAAGAGTTTTTCTTACCATTCGTTGCTGAAAAAAAAAATCACTCTGGGATTATGGATGCGTTATACGAGTAACTGTCAAATCCCACGATTCTATTAGAGTGGCCCAATATTTGGCGGTGGGTGCTGTTGACCATCTGCTTTTTTTTTAAATCTATTAGTTAAAAACTAGACACAACTAGCGCTGATACCCCTTATGTAGTTTTGCGCGAATATCCGAAATAAAGAAACAAATCCTAATGTTGACTGAAAGTGTCTAGAAATAAACAACTAACTTTCTCATAATACAAATGTGTATATTTAGACTTATTAGTAGGTAGAGTTTCAGCAGGGTCACTTGTCCTTTCCAAAATGATATATAGCATCGGGTTAGTTATTTGAGGTTGTATTTTCTTCATGAACGTTGATGAGCGCAACGACAATGATTACTTGAGATTCGTCGGATTAATTGTCCGAATTAAACTTATACTCTTACAACTGGAAATTAACCCTAAACTGTCCTGACGAGACCTTGCTCGTGCGTCCATGACTTTGTTATTACAGAGTCCCTAATAACACACGAGTAAAAAAAAAATAATTAAATGTAAACCAGAAGAACATCAATATTGTAATTAATCAGTACAGTATTGTACATAGAAAATAAATTATTTATCCCCATTGTTTTGGTTAGCTCTAAGTGTTTTTTTTGTTTTTTTACAGAGAAAAACAAAATAATGCCATCATTAGTAAGCATATACAGTTAAGTCGATAAATTTAAGGGTTAAAGATTTACTAACCACTATAGCTATGCGTTATCAGCGCCATCTACAGGAGGAATACAAAACCTCACCAATGTTACCTGGAATGTTAAAATGTAGTTAAAAACCACGACTCGAAATAAAACAACTGAGAATTTCTAGGTTTAAAGTAATACTAAAAAGAGACCTTTGTCATTCTAATTAATCATTTTTAAATATATTTTGCTATTAATTACTGTTTCGTTCCCAGTAATATAATATAATATAATATAATATATAATATAATATAATATAATATATAGAATTTAATATGATATTTGTAAGAAGTTGGTGAGGGCACAAAACTTTAATTTAAGCCACCTTTTCTCTCTGTGTGTGTGACTGTTAAAACATATCTTAACTTTTCTGGATTTCCAGTGGAATGGAACATGTGTGGCAGGTGGAATTCCAACGGCTTTTTGCCCAGTATTTTCCCCACCTGTGGTTCTTATCACCGGTAGAAGAGAAGCCGACCGGTCCGTGGAATGTATTTGTTGATTCTGCTAAAGTCCGCTTTTGTTGTGAGGTAAGATCCACCACGAAAAATCTTTGAAATATTGAAATTACAGCGTCAATCGGATTTTTACTTCGTCACTGTTAAAATAGACGGCTGTACATTGAAACTGATGTAGCCTTATGAGATGTGTTTTATTACAAGATGTTTGTCTATGTGGTGCACGTGTTATCAGCCAGTGTATACTTCCCTATTGTTAAAAAAAACACATTACTATATATTCGTTGCATTCGGTAAGCCACATAATATTGCAACATAAGTTATGTTTCGAGACATCAATCTATGCGTATGTATGCGGGGAGGTGGGACGACGACAAGAGTGTCTATAATACTCTGAAACGAACAGTAATTAAATTGGTTCTAATTGTCTTCATAATGTTTTCTTCAGTACCATCCATACTGTACCAGTAGTATATAGAAGAGTGGGGTTAAAGTTACTACACGTTGTTGGTACTAAACGCGCTGTTCTGGATCAATGTTCGGTCGTGTTGTGCGCGACCTGGGAGGGTCATATACTATTTAAACCTCTTCCTCCCTCCTGGATGTTTACTGTCAAACACTGTACTAATATTAAGAGATAAAGACACAAACAGTGTGTTTATCACACTAGTCCTTCTTCCCTCTTCAAGGCCATGTCCATGAATACCTTCTTCCCTCTTCAAGGCCATGTCCATGAATACCTTCTTCACTCCTCAGGGCCATGTTCACGAATACCCTTTTCCCTCCTCAGGGCTATATATCTATGAATACCTTCTTCCCTCTTCAGGGCCATGTCCACGAATACCTTTTTCCCTCTTCAGGGCTATGTCCATAAATACTTTCTTCCCTCTTCAGGGCTATGTCCACGAATACCTTCTTCCCTCCTCAGGGCTATATCTATGAATACCTTCTTCCCTCTTCAGGGCCATGTCCATGTATATTATTGTATAGCACTTTTTTCACGTGATTACATTATCGAATGCTTATTGTATGATATAACGATCTATGGAGGTTAATAAATCATTCAGATGAGAGATCATCATCGTGTATGATATAACGATCTATGGAGGTTAATAAATCATTCATGTGAGAGATCATCATCGTGTATGATATAACGATCTATGGAGGTTAATAAATCATTCTTGTATAGATTTTTTATCAACATACTTGAACGAGTAAAATAGAAGCCTGTCGTGGATTGGTTGTAGTAATGTGTGAGAGGGAATTTGATTTCGAATTTCGCGCAAAGCCAAAAAAGGGCTATCTGCGCTGTGTTGGTCAACTCTGGGTAACCAAAGGGTCACACAAACCACGAGAGTGATAAATACCTCTACCCATGAAAGGTTACGGTTACTTTTTTGTTTTGTTTTTCTGGTTATCAATACAAGAATGGTTAAAGACTGAAGACTTACATTGAGTTTTATTCATTCGCGGAGAAGAAGGTTAAAATAAACAACAAACTGGTATCTGTTATACAGGATCTGTTGCTTGTCAAATAACTTTTACATGTAATCTCAAAACAACAGACCGGTTTAACTTGTTTTGATCTATTTTTAAAATAATGCGCACAACCTTTCATAGACTACATCCTTGTGCCTGGTGTTTACCATGATCGGACTGTGAATTTGATGGTTCGCGATTCTTTGCCTCAAAAACACTTTCCGCACTTTATGAGACAAGTATACCGTATTTTCACGTAAGTAACCCGCCACCCTGGTATACCCAGCACCTGAGGAAAAAAAAAATGATCTAAGAAATTTTTAGGCACGTATTACCTGCACCCGTGCCCCCCCCCCCAGTGGCACAGCGGTACGCCTGCGAACTTACAGCGCTAGAAACCGGGTTTAGATACCCGTGGTGGGCAGAGCACAGATAGTCCATTGTGTAGCTTTGTGCTTAACGCCAAACAAACAAACATACCTGCACACCTCGCAAGGTTCTGTGGTTCTCCTTATGGGTGGGGGGGGGGGGATCTTAGCATGGCCAGGTGGTTAGAGCGTTCGACTCGTAATCTGTGGGTCGCGGATTTGAATCCCCGTCCCACCAAATATACTCGCCCTTTCAGCCGTTGGGGCGTTATAACGTCACGGTCAATCGTGTAGCTTGGCAACGAAATTCCAAACAAACCAAACTCTTTATGGAGTACTGTAACTTTGTAAATAATGCTCGCCGTGACCAGACATCAGACAATAAGGAATCGTAAGCCAAACCTTTCTCCGACGGGTCCAAAAATGAAAGCTTTGAATGAAAAGATTCATGGTTTTAGGGGGGGGGGAGAAACACGTAGGTTCAAAATATTAATTGAAGACATAAATATGAAACCCTATAACCCGAGCGGACCTTTCTTCATCAGGAGCAAAGTTTTGAAAGCATTCGGTTTATAGGATTTGGTTTCTAATTAAAGTTAAATATGCCTAGAAATATCTGAATTTCGTGGACGCAACAGCCCCTTGAGCAATTAATATAAAAAAAATATTAATATCAAAAATAGAAATATTAATATAAAAAATAGCCGCCACCGACGCCACAAATGCAGGGTTATTCTTTCTATTTTTTCTTTTTTTTTGTCTTGGAGTCACGTGGAACTTTAAACTTCTTGGAAAATTACAGGGAGGTTATGTAAAGACTAGGTTTCGTCACTTCATGGGCAGGGCCGTTCTATGGATTTACATGACGGAGTGTGCTATTTCTTTTCCACGAAGTTCGAAAAAAGTGAATACCGCCCTCTGGTATGTTCAACGCTAATGAAATGAGCATTTGTTTGTGACGTATGCAATATATATATTCTTAATTTTTCTT